CCTCCCTGATTGAACTAACCTCGTTATCTCCATACTGATTTATACCTGCCTCTGGAAATTTCCATTACTTGCATCTGAAGAAGTGAGGTTCTTACCCACAAAAGCTTATGCTCCCAATACTTCTGTTAGTCTTAAAGATGCCTCAGGACCCTCTGTTGCTTTTTACAGATTCAGACTAACACAGCTACCCCTCTGATATTGAACTGTGTTTGTGTTTGGGCAGGGCGGGGCAGGAGAGAAAAGTTGGTTCTAGCTGGAAGGCTTTCCAGTTAGTTTGGGCTTCAGTAAGTTTTTGGGTGTGAGAAACCTTTTTGCTTTCAAATCTGATTTAGCTTGGTAAAGTTTAAGAATTAGTTTTTGGTTTTATTTTTTATTTCTTTTGTAACCTATTCTGACCTTTATGCCTTATCCCTTATTATCACTTAAAATCTACCATTCTCTAGTTACTAAACTTATTTTATTGTTTTACCTTAACAAGTGTGTTTTGGTTGAAGTGTTTGGGAAATCTCTACTCAGGTTAAACACCTCAGCAGAATCATTTCCTTTGATGAAATGACTGACTATTAAAGATTGTTCAGTAGTGTGCTGGACACTACAGGATGCACATTTCCGGGTACAAGGCTGGGGAATTTGCGAGTGTCACCCTGTATGTTCTGTAGTTCATAAGTGGCTGGGAAAGCATTCATGTCACTTTGCTGGGAGTGACTTTACATGCTAATGGCTGTGTGTGAACAAAGCCCGGATAGGCTGCTTTTCACTGGCAAAGCCGTGTAACAGGCATCCTGGGCTGGAGAGTTAAAGGGACACAGCAGTTCAACAGTCCAGACTGTACCCTAGGGCATGTCACAAACAGGACTTTACTTCTTAGAATCCAGAACCATAACACACAAGAACCCAAACCAGAGAGGGGAGGCTGCTCCCTAAGGCATTGAGCACCTTGCTTTACGTTGGCTTGTCTATAGGAACAGTTAGGGCATGGCAGGCTGGGGTGTAAATCCACCGTGCACTAGCCTGCTGTGTGCACCCTGCTGCCGTGCACTGAAAGTTTCCTGGTGTACGTAGATCTGTTCCCATTTCAAAGCAGGGCAGATCAAAGCACACTACGGAATTGTTAGTGCATGTAGCAGGGGCTACACAGACAGTTAGTGCGTGCCAAATTTTCACCCCAGCTTGCCACAAACTAACTGTGCCTGTAGACAAGCTCTGATTCTGCTTTTTTACAGAGCCCTCTGTTCTGCAGACAGCACCTGGCAAACACCCCTCTCTTAAAGTGACAACTTGCAATTCCAACACAGTCCTCACTACACCACAAGAACAAAGAAGAATTCCCTCCCTGACCCCTACTAAGAATGATGATTGCTGGTATGATGTTAAACTCCATATTCTTTATGAAAATATGCTTATGATATGGATATGACATAACTGAGATATACTTTATGCAAGTAAGGTATCATTTGAAAGGTTGTTATTTACTGAATGTGATTATCCTATTTGTATCCATGCATCATTTTTGTATGTGAATTTAGGAATATTGATTATGTATCTGTATTCCAACTATACTACTTTGGGTGACACCCACTGCTAACACTTCAGGTACAACAATGGAAAAGCCAGACAGGGCCAATGGCCCATCAGTGAGGACAATAGACTGTGAAAACGCTTGGCCTTCCTGCGGACCCGCCATACTTCCACTAACTCATGGACGCTGTGATGCTACAGAGTCAAGTGACCTGGTCACCTGATATTAACCTCCATTTTGGACTGCTGAACTTTTCCACTGGGAGTTGGGGGAATCAAACAAAGGATTCCTGCCCTATCAAAATCCTATATAAGCTGGGGGATGGAAATAATCAAGGTCTTCAGTTCATTTCTCCTCTGCCTCCCCACCCAAAGAGACACTGAAAAACATCTGGAAACAAGAACTGCTTGACTCAGGCTGGAAAGATATCTGGCCTGTGAAGGAATCTACCTAATACCAACCTCTATAGAGGGTGAGGAATTGCTATATGTAACCAATTTCTTTAGTGAATCTAGCTTAGTTTGTGTGCTTTGTTTTATTTTCTTAGTAATCTGCTTTGTTCTGTTTGCTACCTCTTTAGCCTCTTAAAATCCATCTTTTGTAATTAGTAAACATATTTCTTGTTCATAATATAATCCAGTTATGTAATTTCTAACTGGGGGGTGGGGAGTTGTGCATACCTTCCTCCACATTGAGGGAAGGGGCAAATTTCATATAAGTTTGTGTTTGTACTCCAAGGGAGGTGAACACCTGGGGCTGTGGCAAGTCCCTTAAGCTGAGTCTTCCCAGAGTTGATCTCAGTGTCTGTATCATTCTGCAGCAGGACGTGGCCCTGCCTGTGTGCTTGGCTGGAAGAGGCTTGTGAGCCTGGCTCAGCAAGACCAGGTAAAGGGGACCCAAGCCGGTAGAATAGACTGACTCAGTGGCATCCCAACACATCAGGTGGCATCCCAAGGGGGTCCCACCCATCACAGCTGGGTACTGAGCTATTATGAAAATGTGGCCAATGGTGTCCCAGCCTGCAAGGTGCTAAACACCCTTAGCTCCTACTGGAGTCAAAGGGTACATCTATATTGCAATTAGACACCTGCAGCTGGCCCGTGCCAACTAACTCAGGTGTGCTGGGCTCAGGCTAAGGGGCTGTTTAATGGCAGCGTAGATGGGCTTAGGCTGAAGCTCGAACTCTGGGACCATCATGGGGTCCTAGAGCCTGGGCTCCAGCCCAAGCCTGAACGTCTACACTGCCATTTAACAGCCCCTTAGTCCGAGCCCCTTAGCCTGAGCCAGCAGGCACAGGCCACCAGCAGGTGTCTCACTGCAGTGTAGACATCTCCAAAGAGAACTGAGGTTGTTCAGGGCTTTCCAAGACGTGCTCAGCACCTTGAAGGTCCAGGCCAATACATAGGAGACACAATGATAAATACTCTCCGCTCATGTCTGCAGTATCTCAGTCTATACAGGTGCAGCACGGACGGGCACTAACCTGCTATTGAAATCGCTGACTCTCTCTTTTGGTTGAGTCGGAGGTTCGTGACACAGCAGGACACTTTCTGGTTGGACTCTTCTGTTAGAACAATGGCAATTTCTGTTTGAAACAGGCTATCGGCCTCTGGGGTTATTTCTTTAGAGGCTGATGGTAAGATCTTCCCCTGGAGATCTCTCCACTGAGCCTCCGGCTCTGGGTACCATCTAGATGATCGACACACCACCCGGATCCCTCCATCCTGATGTCCCTCCACAGAGATGACAGGATCAGAGCCCAAACCTACAGAAGAAATAAATTAACTTGTGATAATCCTGCAGTGCCCAGTAACAAGTCAAAAGTTTTATTACACTGTTATCAAAAGCCATTTCCTATTAAACTAATAATGAAATGTGAGTGTGGCTGGTCAGTTAATCTGGTCAGATTCATATTTGATAGACAGTAAAATTAATATTAATGTCAGGGCTGTTCTATGCACAAATTTGTTCCAGTTTAGTTAAACTCTGTTAGTGAATCAAGTGCAAATCCCTGTGTGGACACTCTTAGGGTATGTCTACACTACGAAATTAGGTCAAATTTATAGAAGTCGGTTGTTTAGAAATCTTTTTATACAGTCGATTGTGTGTGTCCCAACACAAAATGCTCTATGTGCATTAAGTCAGCGGACTGTGTCCACAGTACAGAGGCTCGCATTGACTTCTAGAGCGTTGCACTGTGGGTAGCTGTGGGTCACTATCCCACAGTTCCCGCAGTCTCCGCCACCAATTGGAATTCTGGATTGAGATCCCAATGCCTGATGGGGCAAAAACAGTGTCACGGATGATTCTGGGTACATGTCATCAGACCTCCACTCCCTCCTTCCCTCTCTCCCTCCCTCCGTGAAAGCAATGGCAGACAATCATTTTGCACCTTTTTTCAGCCCAGACGCCATAGCACTGGGATCATGGAGCCTGCTCAGATCACCGCGGCAATTATGAGCACTATAACCAACACGTGCATTATCCTGGAGTATATGCAGAACCAAAACCTGACAAAGCAAAACCAGGAGAGGAGGCAACAGCAGCACGGTGACGAGAATGATGAGGAAATAGACTTGGACATAGACTTCTCACAAAGCACAGGCCCCGGCAATGTGCACAGCATGGTGTTAATGGGGCAGGTTCATGCTGTGGAACGCTGATTCTGGGCCCGGGAAACAAGCACAGACTGGTGGGAACGCATAGTGTTGCAGGTCTGGGACGATTCCCAGTGGCTGCGAAACTTTCACATGTGTAAGGGCACATTCATGGAACTTTGTGACTTCCTTTCCCCTGCCCTGAAGTGCCAAAATACCAAGATGAGAGCAGCCCTCACTGTTGAGAAGTGAGTGGCGATAGCCCTGTGAAAGCTTGCAACGCCAGACAGCTACTGGGCAGTCGGGAATCAATTTGGAGTGGTTAAATCTACTGTGAGGGCTGCTGTGATCCAAGTAGCCAACGCAATCAAAGAGCTGCTGCTATCAAGGGTAGTGACTCTGGGAAATGTGCAGGTCATAGTGGATGGCTTTGCTGCAATGGGATTCCCTAACTGTGGTGGGGCGATAGACGGAACCCATATCCTTATCTTGGCACCGGAGCACTAAGCCAGTGAGTACATAAACCGAAAGGGTACTTTTCAATAGTGCTGCAAGCACTGGTGGATCACAAGGGATGTTTCACCAACATCAACGTGGGATGGCCGGGAAAGGTACATGACGCTCGCATCTTCAGGAACTCTGGTATGTTTCAAAAGCTGCAGGAAGGGACTTTCTTCCCCGACCAGAAAATAACCGTTGGGGATGTTGAAATGCCTATAGTTATCCTTGGGGACCCAGCCTACCCCTTAATGCCATGGCTCATGAAGCCATACACAGAAAACCTGGACAGTAGTCAGGACCTGTTCAACTATAGGCTGAGCAAGAGCAGAATGTGCATTTGGCCGTTTAAAAGTGCGCTGGCACAGTTTACTGACTCGGATAGACCTCAGCAAAACCAATATTCCCATTGTTATTACTGCTTGCTGTGCACTCCACAATATCTGTGAGAGTAAGGGGGAGACATTTATGGCAGGGTGGGAGGTTGAGGGAAATCGCTTGGCCGCTGATTACGCACAGCCAGACACCAGGGCGGTTAGAAAAGCACAGCAGGGCGCGGTGCGCATCAGAGAAGCTTTGAAAACCAGTTTCATGACTGGCCAGGCTACAGTGTGAAAGTTCTGTTTGTTTCTCCTTGATGAAACCCTCCCCACCCCAGTTCACTCTACTTCCCTGTAAGCTAGCCACCCTCCCCTCCTCCCTTCAATCACTGCTTGCAGAGGCAAAAAAGTCATTGTTACTTCACATTCATGCATTCTTTATTAATTCATCGCACAAGTAGGGGGATAACTGCCAAGGTAGCCTGGAAGGGGTGGGGGAGGAGGGAAGCGCCGGGTGGGGTGAGGGAGGAGGGAAGGACAAGGACACACTGCACTTTAAAACTTTAAAATTTATTGAAGGCCAGCCTTCTGTTGCTTGGGCAATCATCTGGGGTGGAGTGTCTGGGTGGCCGGAGGCCCCCCCACCGCGTTCTTGGGCGTCTGGGTGAGGAGGCTATGGAACTTGGGGAGGAGGGCTGTTGGTTACATAGGGGCTGTAGCGGCGGTCTGTGCTCCTGCTGCCTTTCCTGCAGCTCAACCATATGCTGGAGCATATCAGTTTGATGCTCCAGCAGTCGAAGCATCGACTCTTGCCTTTTGTCAAGAATCTGACAGCACCTATCCTCTTCAAGTCGCCACTTACTCTCTTCAGCTCGCCACCTCTCCTTGCGTTCATATTGTGCTTTCCTGCACTCTGACATTGTCTGCCTCCACGCATTCTGCTGTGCTCTGTCAGCGTGGGAGGACATCAGGAGCTCCGAAAACATGTCATCCCGAGTGCGCTTTTTTTGCCTTCTAATCTTCGCTAGCCTCTGTGAAGGAGAAACATTTGCAGCTGATGGGGGAAAAGGGAGATTGGTAGTTAAAAAGCCACATTTTAGAGAACAATAGGATCACTCTTTCCCATTAAACCTTGCTGTTCACATTACACAGCACATGTGCTTTCATTACAAGGTCGAATTTTGCCTCTTGTTTATACTGAGGGCCTGCCAGTTTGGTGTGAGAGATCACTCATGCAGTGCCAGGCAACAGAATTGAGCTTGCCAGCAGCCATGGTAAGCCACAGTCTTTTGGCTTCTTTAACCTTCATAACATGTGGGAATGGTTTCAAACAGCAGCACCCTCATTTCCCATATCAAGCAGCCGTTGGGTTGGCCATTTAAAATGGGTTGGCAATTTAAAAGGAGGGGCTGCGGTTTGCGGGTTAGCATGCAGCACAAACCCAAATAACCCTCCCCCCCCACCCACACACACATAATTCAATTCTGTGGGATGATTACTTAGCCATGCAGTGGGGGGGAGGAGTGAACAGAGGGGAACATTTCTGTTCAGCCGCACAGCCAAACAGCCGAGCAGGAACGGACACCTCTGAATGTCCCCTTAATAAAAACACCCTATTTCAACCAGGTGACCATGAATGATATCACTCTCCTGAGGATAACACAGAGAGATAAGGAATGGATGTTGTCTGAATGCCAGCAAACACGGGGACCATACGCTGCCATGCTTTGTTATGGAATGATTCCAGACTACGTGCTACTGGCCTGGCATGGTAAAGTGTCCTACCATGGTGGACGGAATAAGGCTGCCCTCCCCAGAAACCTTTTGCAAAGGCTTTGGGAGTACATGAAGGAGAGCTTTCTGGAGATGTCCCTGGAGGATTTCCTCTCCATCCCCAGACACGTTAACAGACTTTTCCAGTAGCTGTACTGGCCGCAAATGCCAAGGCAAATTAATCATTAAACATGCTTTCTTTTAAACCATGTCCAATATTTACAAAGGTACACTCACCAGAGGTCCCTTGTGTGCCCTCAGGGTCCAGGAGCACGCCTTGGATGGGTTCGTGGGTTACTGGCTCCAGGTCCAGGGTGAAAAACGTATCCTGGCTGTTGGGGAAACCGGTTTCTCCGCTTCCTTGCTGTGAGCTCTCTCTTCATCATCATCATCTTCCTCGTCCCCAAAACCCACTTCCGTGTTGCATGATTCTCCATTGATGGAGTCAAAGCACAGGGTTGGGGTAGTGGTGGCTGCACCCCCTAGCATGGCATGCAGCTCCGCATAGAAGCGGCATGTCTGCGGCTCTGCCCCGGACCTTCTGTTTGCCTCTCTGGTTTTGGGGTAGGCTTGCCTTAGCTTCTTAATTTTCACGTGGCACTGCTGTGCGTCCCTGTTATGGCATCTGTCCTTCATGCCCTTTGAGACTTTCTAATGTTTTGGCATTTCGTTTACTGCAATGGAGTTCATCTAGCATGGATTCATCTCCCCATATGGCGAGCAGATCCCGTACCTCCCATTCGGTCCATGCTGGAGCTCTTTTGCGATCCTGGGACTCCATCATGGTCACCTCTGCTGATGAGATCTGCACTCACCTGCACCTTGCCACGCTGGCCAACAGGAAATGAGATTCAAAAGTTTGCGGGCCTTTTCCTGTCTACCTGGCCAGTGCACCTGAATTGAGAGCGCTGTCCAGAGTGGTCACAATGGAGCACTCTGGGATAGCTCCCGGAGGCCAATACCATCAAATTGCATCCACATTACCCCAAATTCGACCCGGCAAGGCCAATTTCAGCGCTAATCCCCTCGTCGGAGGTGGAGTAAAGAAATCGATTTAAAGAGCCCTTTAAGTAAAAAAAAGGGCTTCGTCGTGTGGACGGGTCCAGGCTTAAATCGAGGTAACGCTGCTAAATTTGACCTAAAATCGTAGTGTAGACCAGGTCTTAAATCAAGAAGCAATTGACTCAAGCTAATCAATATAAGCCATTTCCAAACTCTTTTAGGAGTGTCCACACAGAGCTTTGCACTAGTTCATCAAAACCAGTGCCCATGTATGAGTAGACAAACATTAAATTAATTCACAAATAAAAAACCCTTGTGATAGGGGAGTTTGGGTTGCTTGGCAGTGCCTTATAGCCTTCCAGAATAAATAAGTGAACAGCAGAAAACTGATACAACTGAAAGCCAGGAAATACACTCAACAAAACAGAAACACAAACACTCAACAAGGAAATGTAGGGTTAAGGTAACACTTCTCACACCAGATCACACTTGGGGGGGGGGTTATTATTGATGAGCTAAACTGAAATAAAATCTTAATTGAAACAAATTGTACCTAATCAAAAGTGTGAATTCAA